TATGGTACCTTGTATAGTACTAGTCCATAAATACCGGGTATTATAGCTTGGACCGTATTTTATTCCAAATTGACAACCTTCAACGAAACTCATTTTCTTTTATTTGTTTACCCTCTAACCTTCACGGCACTTACTTATCACCTGTTATAAATAGCATAAATACTTATAACCTCAAAAATAATCTCATTCTCGGGCCTACGTCGATTAACTTACGACGAAACTTTAACGTACGAAAACGTGAAATTAACAAGCCTGCAGTGTGATGTTCACCTGTTCTGCAATCAATTGTTTTAGGGCATCCTCCTCCACAGTTTGGTTGTCTCCATGTTGACCATCAGTGCGCGAATCGGACCTTTCAGGTGAACTTTCACGGGATTGTTAAGGGGATCCCATAGGTGTGTGATGTGGTGGAGTTCCACCTAGTCGGTTCAACTAGTTGTTCTCGTTAGCAGTTGACATATTTGGTCGTTAAAAATAAAGTTTGGAAAGTGAACAGATTATCAGATTCCCGGCAACAGAACCAATTTGTTTAACCCAAAAATAGATTTCTCGGTCAAAGTCAATATCAAAAAGAAATCGGGTTACTGATAACTAAGATTCACTTCACTTTCAATAATTTGAAGATTAAAGCAAATAATGGAAATAATTGACAAATAAAGGAAATATGAAACAAATTGATAATTACTCCCAAAATTACGGTTAGAACCTTGTGAATAAAGTAAAGAATGATTGCATAAACTTCAATAAAAAATCTGATGCTATTACAAATGAGGTCTAAGTCCTTATATAGGAGCATACAATTATAACGATTTTCTTACTTAATTCGGGCTTGTTAATGGCATTAATTGTCTTGATTACCCGTTACCATATATAATTATAACGGAAGTATTTATGACTGAGGATTTCCCGTAACCGTAATTATATATCGATTTTCCATCCTTATTTATGACAAGTTCGTGCATCTTCTCTTCTTAACGGTCTTTATCCATTCCGATCATGTTTTTCCTTTTACGGCTATCAGGTTCGATTCTTTTCTCAGTGTAACCACGAGGGTGTTCCTCCCGTGCCTTTTTGCATTGTTTAACTCGTCTAATTAAGAATGCCACTCGTCGCTATATTGATGGTTCACGTACCATGCCGTATCATCTTGATAATAGTCCACGTGTCATGCCTTTTTTTTCACTAATACGCAGAATAATTGCACTAACAAAACAAGATACCACTAGCGTGATCCTCCAAGCAAAATTCCAAAAATTAAAAATCAAATATATACTAATTTATGATTTCCTTATCTGTCATTAATTTATATATTAATTTAATGGCACATGATACATATTTTTACTAAATTTGTATCATTTGCCATTTAAAATAGCAGTGGATGCAATTGTATCCCGCTGGCTCCGACTTAAAATTTTAAATATGCCTCTACTTATAGGTTTTACGAAATCAAAAAAGGAAATCAAAAGGGGTGTGATGGAGTGATAAGTATATAGATGTAGGATTTGTAAAACATGGGTGCACCACTAATAAAAAGAAGGAAAAAAAGTTTTAAGAGAGAATTGATCCTTGATACTTAGGATAAATAATTTAACACTCAACCAAGTGCACAATTCAATCTTTTTGGAATATGGGATTCAACAAGTTATATTAGATTACTTCTAGGAAATATGTACATAAAATATCTAATTTTATAAAATGATCATGGGTTCACGTGCACCATTAATAAAGCATTAAATCCCCTTGTCTTTACTCCCCCCTCCCTCCAATATGGAATTTTCCATCGCAAATCAGTCGGACCCAATACGGGTACTAGACACCGAGTGAGAAACAAAAAAAGAAATCAAAAAAGGAAATGGAAGATTTGATTCCTAATCTTGATAATTATGGAGTATTGTTTATTGTAAGTGATAAGTTGAATAATATCATAGTTTTGCAAGAAGCAATTGATAATGAATAAAATAAGATATTAATGTATTATTGTGAAAAAGGTGAGGATTCATGCATGCCAATACTCAACCAAAAAAAAAAAGGAATAATACTAAAAGCACCATTGCTAACACAAAGATGACCAATTGACCATCAGAATATGTACAATCACTTTCATTCCCCCACCAACACCTCCACTACAAGTCTAAAATACAACGCCCCATTCTATATACTGTATAGTTTAGTCCCTCAACGTATTTTTTCTGGTCTATTGCCAAACCTATTCAATCCCTCCCCCTAGCCTATTCCCAAATTATCCAACTGTAACACTTACTTATGTCCGGGTGATTATATCAAATCAGACAATTTAATCGTACCAGTTAGAAATTAAAATGAGAACACAATCATAATTAAGTGTAAAAGTGTGTATATAAGAAATATGCCTTGGATTTATTTGCTTAATATTTTATCACGCTCCTTTTTTATCCAAAACAAATCTCTCTTCGTCTCTGTAGTAAAACTAACTTTAGAAACAATCGAATTATAACAGAGTTCAACACTAGTTTTAACCACATTTATAGATATAGAGTTAATAAAGCAACAAGAAAAATCTAATTTTAGTTTATTTAGTGTTGGGATTCAAACTCGTAGCATTATTATTTACTCCCTTCGTCTCATCTTAGCTGTTGTGGTTACTAAAAGTAGTTGTCTCAAATTATTTATCTAAAAGTTCAAGACAAAATTGATTGTTTTTTTCTTTTTTATCCTTAGTAATAATTGTTCTTGAACATAGAGATAACACATAAATAAAATAAATATTCAATAAAGAGAGATTATATCTTAAAACATAAATACATGTAGAATAGTTCAATTCCTATCCTAATTAATACTCCCTTCGTTCACTTTTACTTGTGCAGAATTCTAAAAACAGATTTTTACTTTTACTTATCACTTTTAGCATATCAAGAGAAAGATAATTTATTTTTTCCTGTTATACCCATAGTATTAATATTCATTTCAATTCATTTTCTCAAATGCATTAAAAATATACATCAATTAATATGGGTATTATGGTAAATTATGCACTTTATTTATTATTTCTTAAAGAGTATGCAAAATCTATAATGGATAAGTAAAAATGAATATAAGGAGTATTTCTTAAGAGACGCGTAAAAAAAATAAATACAAAACAACCGAGAGAGTATATTAGATTACTTGCATTTACATATTTTCAAATCCGAGAAAACTGGATCTGTATTTTATGTTCTCTATGTCTAGTCTATACAAAAGGGGAATCTCCAATCATAACGCACTCCATTGTGCGCAGCAGCACGAAGCGGAAAAAGCAAAAGATGAGGAAACTACACAAACAACTTGCTAAGGAAAATTTTATTTTGTATATCATACAACTAATACTAATTGTATGAGTTAATTTTTTTGTCTTACAATTTTGTAGATCCAGAAGTGTAAAATTGAGGTCCACAAATTTATGAGAAAAAAAAGAGCCTGATACAACTAATGTCAATTGTATGAGACACAAAATAAAACTTGTCACTTGTGACCTTGAAAATAATAAAAAAATTGCACTGAACATTGAATAATCTTTAAATAAAAAAGAAATAAGAAGAGGTACAAGAGAAAAGTTACAATCCCAATAAACATTTAAAGAGGCAGTTATGAATTGCATATATATCCAAATAAAAACAAGGCTAGTAATTCTTGCGTTAGCTGTATTTTTCTCTCTCTACTTCACTAATTTTAACGCCCCTTACTTTAATTTTAATACAACATTCAACCTCTTTTGGCTTCTTCTCTCTCTCCCTTTGTATACCTACACGGCACAAATTACATAATTACATATCTCGCAAATAGTATTATATAAAACACCTACTCCTTTTCGTTTTAATTTATGTGAACCTATATTTTTTTGGCTCATACCAAAAAAATAACTCCTTTCCTTATTTGGAAACAATTTACCTTTAGCAATGATTTATAGCCACATAAAATATATGTGCCTTATTTTACATCACAAATTCAAAAATCTTTTCTCTTTTCTTAAACTCTGTGCCCAGTCAAATCGGTTCACATAAATTAAAACGGAGGGAATATATTGCTGTTAAATGCAATAAAAGTTATACTACTAACTAATTTTAAAATGCTGAACTCACTCTCGACTTCAATTTTTTTTTGAATAAAAGCTTTTTTACTCTATTAATTGGTTTATTACTCTAAGTTATAGACTGTCATCTTATTTTGAGAAGTGTTTTTTTTCTCAAAAGTACTTCTGGTGAGAAACAGTTTGTATTTAGTTAATTAATTTAAAAAATACTTCTGGACAACAATTAGTGTTTGGCCAAGCTTTTAAAAACTGCTTCTAAGTGTATTTTTCTCAAAAATACTTTTAAAAAAGTGTTTTGGAGAGAAACTACTTTTTTCTGTTTATCCTTACCTTCAAAAACACTTTTTCCCTTCCAAAAATTTAGCCAAACACCTCAAATTTTGAAAAAAAAAACACTTTTGGCCAAACAAGCTATTAGTCCACCAATATATTTTGAATTTTCTATATGATTAAAACAGAAAAATTCTGAATTTAAATATCAACAATATTATGCTCATCACTAAAGATTGTGGTGAAGTAATTTGTATGGTTTCATTTTTAATGAAAGGTTCAACTTGAAGTTGTAAGTTAGAAATTTTCAGCATAAATCTAAATTAATAAAGAAACAATTATCTTCTCTCTTCAAAACGACAGGCAAAACAATGTGAGCTAAAGGCCAAACCCCAAAGCCACCTCTTCTTTGTAATTTCCATACATAAAACACCTCTCAACATCCACTGATCAGAATTTTGTTGCAAAAACCCTTAAAACACCTTCTCTCTCTCTTTCATCACCTTCTTTTCTGACCTTAACTTTGAGTCGGTTTCACTCTTCACATTTCAAAGATCATCTAAATCTGATCTTTTTCTATATCTATTTTTTCACATACAAATATTGCACATACTCTTTTAATTTATTGTAATTTTAGAATTCTGGGTTCATATTTTCTTCAGTTAAGTTTTGAGGTACATTTTCAATGGCTGCTGATGCACAAGCAGTGATTGAGGCTCCTGCCCTTCAATCAAAATATTCTGATGCTGGTTCTGAAGAATCTGACTTTTATTCCAACCAAAATGTGAATAATTCTGAATCTGTTGTTACACCTAATTGTGTGAAGGACTCATTAAATGCTAAATCGGATTCTTATCAAATGCAACATATTGTTGACATGTTGAAGAAACTCAAGTTGAATCCACTCGCAAAAGAGTTTGTTCCTTCTTATTGTTATAATAATCGTGATCAGATGCTTTTTCTGCCTGCTAATAAGACTCTGGCTGCTGATGATGCTTTCCCAATTAACCGAAGGGTATTGTTTCCACTCTGAGTCACATTGATCAAACGGCTGTTGAATTTTTATTTTGTTATTTTTGTTGATCGTTTCATGACTTAGATTATTATTTACTTCACTGATTTCACTTGAAAGAATCGCAATTCTGATATATTTGAAGTATTTAAGACTGACTCCATAATGAATTTGTTATAGTCTCTGCTGAAGTGTGTTTCAGATTACAAGTTCTGCTTTTCTAGTTTATTTTATTTCCTTATTTATAAAATAATAAAAAAGTATCTTTTTTGTTTTCTATTAGAGTAATATCTTTGTGAGGGTGTCTTTCCATGCATTAATTAGTGGTAAACTTGTTGAATTCTCGAAAATACAATTCTTTGGGAATTCCTAATTTTCCTGGTAAGAAATGATTCTTTCAGATATGGGAATGTATTTGGAAGCGTCATTTTATCTGACGGGATATATTCGATAATCAATATCCCGAATAAGTTGTTATAAAAGGTTTCATGCTTTGGGACATTCATCATTTATCAAGGGTAGTAGGAATGAATGTAGAAGCTGGATTTCAAAGTTATATGGACTTGTGGATTCTGAAGCTCTTTTTGTCAAAATGGATTCTTGACTCTTCCTTTAGTAATTAATTGCTGACTTTCCGTTCTTTAGAAAGGGAAATTTGAGATTGAGTTAGTTGTTAGTATCATTGACTTTAGTTGTTAGAATAGTTGTGGATGCTTATCTGGTAAAATATCAATGAATGCTATTTTTCCATTGTCGTGAATGAGGTGGAATTTGAAGTTCTGATTTCAGTGTCCATTTGTGAGTTGTATCTTTTCGTTACTCTGGTTGTTTCAATGGTACTTGCATACAACATTTTGCTATATGTGGAATTTGTCATTTTCATATAAATTGGATCAAAATTTTGGTCTAAAAAGGCTTGCCAAATGTGCACAACCTTCCTTTGCATCAAAGAGGTTGTTTCTACGACTCGAACCTTTGACACTGGCACAAGTCACCTAAGGAACAACTCTACCATTGCTTCAAAGCTCGTTCTCATTAAAAACTTTCATCCTTCACATAAATTTATTTACTTTCATAAAGAGAGTGCATTTTAAGAAAGTTCAACCTTCCATGCTTTTCAACTCAAGCATTGCGTTTCAGACCATAATTACCATGATTTAATAAATACCCAAGTGTATTGCGAGTTGCATTTCGCCATTCTTGAAGTAATTTTGATTGCTCAATTAAGCAATCCGACTCCTCACTAATTTTCATTACTATATTTCAGCAGAGAGGTAACAACTATAACCAGGGCAGAAGGAGAATGAACAATAGAGCTTTTAGGGCTCAAAGAGAAGATAGCATTAGGAGAACAGTCTATGTTTCTGACATCGATCACAATGTAAGTAAGGATGGATGTTCATTAATCTTCTTATTATGTTCTGTTTAGTGTTTATACAGTTCCTCTTTCTGACTCTGCCCCACAGGTCACGGAAGAGCGGCTTGCTGCATTATTTAGCGCTTATGGACAAGTAAGTGACTATGCTCTTCTAGACATTGATGTGATTCTTTATATTAGATATTTGAGTGCTTTAAGTGCTAGGTGGATGCTTCTATTTTGTACTTTGAGAAACCTAAAAGTTATTAATGCATTTAGTTTCATACTTTAGCAGATGAAAAGCCTTAGCTTGGATCGCCTATGGAGTATGTTTGTCGCTCTATCTACAGGATGATGAAATTCCATGACTCGCAAATAATCAATAACCTTTAGACTGTCTAAAATTACAAGTTATCATCAGTATTAATCATTAGGTTGTTTTACACATTAATATCGTCGAGTTATCTGGATCATTGCCATAATGATGCCTAGAGGAGCTAGCTTCAAATTACTGATGAGATGCAACAACATATCTTTTTTCTGTCTTTGGCAGATGGAGATGTTCTTTTTATTTGTTATGTGTGGAATTACAAAACAAAAGTAGAAGCTCTAAAGGCAAGTCTGGTAGATGCACATGCAAAACTTAACAGCTTCAAAATAAAACACGTGTTAATTCATATAAATAGATATTTACCATAAACTTGAAGAATAGAAGGTTAATAAGCTGCCAACTTTCATATTCCTTGTAGGCTTACTACTGAATACCAAGGGAACTTCTATCATTGACTTCGAGTTTCACATAATCTTCTTGTTGTTTCACGTAATCTTTCACCTTTACTAAAATCTATACATTAGGAAGACTCTAAAGAAAGTTACAATATCCAGAAGGAAATAGGTAGCTGATATTTGAACTACAAGGTCCCTAGAGCTCAAATTGACTCTTATATTTTGCTTGCTACTTCCCTTTTCTTTTCGTTCTTTTGGTTTCTGGAATGTGCCAGAAGTTGGAGTTTCCTTATAGATCCTTCTTTCCACTTACTTTCATGTCACAGTGACGTGCTTAAACTGGTCTTCTACACAGTAGCGAGGTGTCATTGTGCTTATTATGGTTAAGGTTTGCATGAATTAGTGTATGCAAATTTGATGTTTTGTCTCCTAACTTGTGTCATCAGCTCAGGAGTTTGGTTACGGTTCGTCGCCAATAATATTGTGTGATTTAGGGGGCTTAGGATTTTTTCCATGCATGATCCAATCCATTTCTCGTTTTGTCTTTCCAAAGGTCCCCATCATGAGAATTGATACTCTATACACTCGCTTTTACTATTCTTAGTATGGAACAGTCCAAATAAAAGTTTGATTTGTGTGGAATCTAGATTAAGTTGCTTGCTGTCAGACTACGAGTTGTTGGTGAAGGTTGGATAAAGTCACGATGCTTATATTCCTGTTTGTTATAGTTGAATTATTTTCAACTTGCCATTTTGATATTAATTGGACTGTTCTGAGATTATTTAAGGCATATCCCCAGTGTGCAGCAGATCTATTTATTTTTGTACTTAATTTGGCTTCGTGTTGGTATTATGAGGTATCTTTTAAGAAATGTAATATTGGCTGTTTCGTTTTGGCTGCATGTGCTCTACAGGTTGTTGACTGCAGAGTTTGTGGTGATCCACATTCCCGCCTTCGCTTTGCCTTTGTGGAATTCGCCGATGAATGTAAGTTGGAGTGGCTTGAAGTTTTTTTAGGACTGCTGAACATTCAGAACTAACTTGTCATATGGAATCATCCCAACAGACTCAGCAAGAGCAGCACTTAGCCTTTGTGGGACGATATTAGGATTCTCTCCTCTG